TTTGTTAAGAACTGATCAAAACGTGTCACATTTAACGTAAAACAGCGACACTTGCAAAAGTAGTAGCATTGGCACTGAAACACATCTAATGGTAATCAACGTTTACACTACATCTTCAACGTCTGATAAATCCTCTCGTCATGAACTTTTAGCATTTGTTAACAGCTGTTTGCAAGTAGGTATTTTTGTTTGAATTCTGTTCACTTCAAAAACAAATATTTTTTCAGAACTTTATTTTACTTCCAATACCTGTAACTCTACTGTTTTATTAGTTTGTTTTCGAATTGCTACTACCAAACACGATTATAAATTTTAAAACATAAATGTTTGCGAAGTTTCAAAGTGAAGTATAAATAAACACGTCGCTGTTGAGAAACTTCAACAAGAAGAACTTTTGGTAAAACAGACTGGCGTAAAGCTGCTGGTATTATGTCCCATAAACGCTGCTCTACAACTGTTTAAGCATCTTGCTGCTTACCGTCCGCAGAGCACTGGTCGTTTTCTCACCCCTGCTCTGGAATCCGCTGAAATTGGAGGTCTACTGTGAATTGTTTTTGAACAATGACGAAGATAAATTCTGTAAAAGACAGAACGAATTTTCCGGACTTTTATCAAAAACTGCTCTCTTCCGTTCCCTTACTATTAGACTAGATGAAGCAAAGAGGATTTTCCTTGTTATTTTGCGACCTTTGTACTTCATTAAAGTGCTTTTCGCGCTAACCGCTGTAATTAATGCTTGATTTTGAGATCCAAATGAATTTTCCAAATGAATTTCCCAATTTACAGTGGTTCGGAAATTCAATAAATTCTTTTACCAAAATTTGTAATAGTTCTCAAAATTATTTTTTTACAGTCGATTATTCTTTATTGTTCAACGACCTTATAAGCGGAGTCAAAGCTTGGGTACGCATCCGACTTTTAGAAGTGATCATGAAAGAGCAAAACATTTTGAAAAATTTGATATGCAAAAGATCAAGGCGATTTGAAGACGAAGTAGCGCTTTTTGCAAAAAACCAAGATCGCTTTACAATTAGTTCTCACAACAAATCTCCCAAGGCCTCCATGAGATTCCCTCAAAACCGAAAATCTCTTCTCACCTGTCCTGCAACAATTCGTCTCAACTGGGACCTCCGATATACGAACATCCGCTGAGACAACAGCCATAAAAATAAACATATACTCTGCGAATGGTGCTAAATGAAGGTTGTAGTGAGATGTTTTAGGTTCTTCTAAAAAAATTAGAATAAAACCTTTGTAGTTTTACAAGTTAATTTTTCCAAATCGCCTTCGCTTTTTAAACTGCATGCGCTTCGACATTACAAAGAATATCCGTTGTTACCTTTCCTAATAAAGTTATCTAGCCTTTGATCTGTGTTTACAAAAAAGACTGAAATATTGAAAGATTTGTAACAAAGTAGTTTCGTACTCTCTATCAAATTATTATTATCTATTTCTTGCAGCAGTTTCATCAGAAGAAGCGAAAGAAAGCAACAATAATAATGGTAGTAGTAATAGTAATAGCAGTAGTAGTAGTAATAGAAATATTATTAGTAATAGTAGGAGCAACAATAATAGAAATAGTAACAGTAATAGTACTAGTACTAGTAACAATAATAGTAATAGTGATAATAGTAGTAATAGTAGCGTTAAAAGTGATATTAATAGTAATAGTGATATTAATAGTAATAGTAATAGTAATAGTAATAGTAATTGCAATTGTAATAGTAATATCACTAACAATAATAATAATAATAATAATAATACATTATTCTTGTAATAGACGTTCTTAAAGAGGCCAGTTTCGCTAGTTCATCGAAGCTCTGATATATAACTAGGCAGCTCTGCAAGTATTGTACTCTATGTTCTGTGAAATATTTAAAATGAGAATCAATGCTTTCTTTCTGAAGGCGGCTACATTCAGCAATTTTATATCAAAGCTTATTTGAATGAGTGATAAAAATTAAAACCTTGTATTAGGGCCATCAATCTATCATATTTATTGAATTCTTGTTGCACTGAAACTTTCCAAAAGTAAACTACTGACGCTAAAACTATTTTAGCATTCCCAAACCTCACCCATAAAACCCAGATAATTTTTATCGCATATTAAGGCAAACCTTACACGTATCGAAGAGCTGAGTACCGGAGCAGCTTATTGTCAACTGACAGATTTGTTGTTCCGTGGAAGTATACCATTAAAAAAAGTCAAGTGGAACAGCAGAACAGATGTCGACTGCCTTCACAACTGGAGACTACTGCAGTTCGCATGGAAAGAATTGGGTGTCAACAAGGTACCGTATTTCACTTATGCAAAACAAGTGTCTTCACCTTCCACGGAATTATCATCGTCAGTATTGCTGTCAAAACGTTCACGTTTTCTTTTCATCTTCAGCAATTTTGCATTTGTTAGAAATATGCTTCTGATAATTTATTGGATAATTACAGGTAATTCCAGTAGAGAGACTGGTATGTGCCAAATTTCAAGATAATTTCGAATTTTTACAATGGTTTAAAAAATTCTTCGATGCAAACTACGACCGAACTCCTTATGATGCTCTAACAGCTAGAAATTGGGAGGTAATTTGCTTAATAGACGATTAAATTTGTTTACCTTTTATATCTAACTACAAAAAAAAAAATCCATTAGACTTTTATACCTTATTCTTACCTACCAAGAAAAGAAAATTTGACCATTCTCAGATGCTTCCCCCTGGAAGTTCAAGCAAAACAAAACTCACATTGAAGAACACGAAAGCTATCGCTAACGACGTACCACCTGCTTCAACAAGGCAAAGAGCGCCTCAACAAACAAAAATGCCTCAGAATAAAGGTAAATAATTTTAGTTTTAGCTTCCCGTTTTCATAGCTTAAGATTTTACTTAAAGATTTCAGCTCTGCTTTTAATTTCTATGTTCTAACAATTTTCATTTTCGTCGCATTGCTGCAATAGCAATAGTTGAAATTTAGGAAATTTGGGAATCAGCACAAAAGGCGGTGACATTGCTGAAGACGCAACTACCATTGACGATGCCACCGATTTTCAAATCAGAATGCTTGAAGATCGCTGCAAGCGGCTAGTAAGCAATGTGAGCATTGGGTCTTGATACAAAAAAATAAAAAAGATAAGGAACAGATAAATATGAACGAAAGTAAATCGTTTGGAAACATCTTTGGAAGTGCAAAAAGCTCAACCATGTTTTCATTAGCCTTAAACGAGATTTACCATCCAAAAAGAATAATACCAGTTACCAAGTAAACGAGAAAAATATATATCAGAGTTTTTAGCTCGAAAATATGAAAAAACAACGGGACTCGTATGCAGCAATTGTGCATGCTATAAACGAATACTGCGAGAACAGTGATACGACATTTTCGAGAGAAGCTGTCCTAAGCATTGTACGAGTAAGCATTATTAACACTGCTTCTTTTATCATTCATTTATTTAGAAATATTGGTAAATAAGCAGTTTCCTTAATTATCTAAACAGTAATGTCCTTATAGATTCGCCTCAGCCATCTGCAAAAATAACGTAATTTGTCGAGAAGAAAATCTATCCTCAATCATTAATAAAGAGGAATGATTCGTATAGTTTGAAAAACAGCATAATATTCAAGAAATTGTCTGATTTTTTTATTTAATAAACTTGACGGTTCCTCATACTCAAAGCTGCATAGAAACAGAAATCAACATGTAAGGTGCAGCGTTTACGCATTGCTTCGATCGTGTCGTTTTAAAATGTTTAAAAGCTTGACTACTTTTAGCCAAACGTTCCGTATGTTTTTGTATAAAACATAAATTGTAAAAAAAGCATGCGAGGAGGGTAGGAAGAAAGGACTCGGCGATTACGGGTGGGACTGGGTAGTATTCTCAAGTATAGGTATCCAATGTGTCAGGCTTTGTCGAGGAACAGCAACTCCTCTCTCTGTTTTCCACTTCGGAATAGTGGGCTGCGGTGTTGGTTTTTGAACGAAGTAAAGAAAATATTGGCTTCTGCGAAATTGACTTTATAAATGGGCGAGGAGCTCAAATGATAGTATGACTATATGATGAAGATTAAATGCAAGATTGAACCTAATAGACTGTATTACAAGTACGCCCACAGGTGCACTACAGCATGCTTCTGCTGCCTGCGGAAAAATAAAAATATGGGCTCGAAAAAACAATTAAACTTCAGACCTTGTGAAAGCAAAGGAAAGATGAAAAGAGTTTCATGAAACTATGGTGGGTGAATCAGGGACGCTTTGGAAACTTAAATGCTAAAAATACAGCCGAATTACCTGCAAAAATCCATTTTTTGAAGTGGGTAAAAGGGACGAACAACCATAGACGTCTAAAGCAAAGCAGTTAGTCCTAATTGTTTTCCTGCTAAACCTTCTGGACAGTAGCCGCCATCAGATGCCAAAATTGCGATAGTTCATTTATTCTTTGCCATAAGCAGTAAGCGAAATCCCTTTAAAACGTAGATGAAAAACTATTGCGGAGGGTACTGAATCCAATATTTTGGCAACTTTTAATATGACTTACAAAAATGACGGAGAATAATCGCAATTTGCCCAGTGCTAGGATACTCCGTAAAATTAAGTTTTTGCTTTTGCAGGAAAATTAATTGAATTCCTAGAACTGCTAACCCTCCCAGTTGCCAGTACTACCGCTGCTACAAACCTTGCACATGAGACTCCAATGCTTTTCAACTAATTATTTTACGCTGTGTCTGGTGATGGAATGATAGTACTCAGCACTAAAAAAGTTTATTGAAATATTAGTTTAAAAAATCTTACTGCAGCTATAGACCTGTGTCGCATGTTGGACCTCTGATAAGTAGAGTGAGCATGCACAGAATCAAGAAATTTTTTGTCTACACAGTTGTGAGGATTATGGCGCTTTATAGCGAAAAAGTTGATTTCCAGGTAAATCTGGCTGTAGTCGAACCCCACCATACTGTTAATATTTAAATGGATTAGAAGGAAGCGGCATTTGCACTTTTTTTATTTTGGGCAGTAAACGACTTTAAATTCTGACTGTAGAACCATTCCTTTTGAGTCATCTCGGGATAAAATAGGCGAGCTTGTTGGCAGCGTTCTAGCGCAACATTTCGAGGTTCGGTTATAGATCGCTGAAATGCTTGTTGTTTATCGCAATCTACGCAATGATTTAACTTTTAGGAATGCATGGCTTAATAAGAAGACGCTCAAAATTTGCCAAGAGTAAGAAACTGAAACTTTGTCACTGTTATTTGAAAAAACTGTTTTAACGCTTCAAACTCCCACGATGAGTACTCAGAGCAGTTTCAAGTGGGAGCCTGGTTGCCTAAATTCATCAGTTTATCTCTTGAAGAACTTGCAGGCAAGCATATGTATCCACCTCTAAGCATGGTCCTTTCTTATTTTTCCTTCACAAAGTTCTTGGGCTGACCTACTCTCTTGTTGTGGTTGAAAAAAACTACTAGCCTCTACTTTTGCCACCTGAAAAATTACTTTCATTTGACAAGTAAGTTTCGTGCTTAAAATCCTACTGTCTGCTGACCGTTCCCTGGTTGTCAAAGTTGTACGGCCTCTTTAAATTGAATACGGACAACGCAGATTCTGATTGTGACGTGATAGAGAATGTTACGAACACAAGCTTGCCGTATTCATTCAAATAGGTTATAAGCAAATTCTTCCACTTGTCCCATGAATAACACCGCTTATCGTTTTTAAGCCGAAGGAACTGAGGCAGTAAAACGCACACACATTGGAATTGCGACGCCTACTCTAGCGGTACAGAACTATTTATGCAGTATGTGCAGTTTTTTATCATTAATCCCGTAAAGTGGAGGAGAACAAAAACTTCCTAAAATTTTCAAAAGACGCAAAAGAAACGCTGGGTTTTCCTTAATTGAAAAACTTGAACAAAAAAAGCATGGCTGACGACATGAAAAACAGTCCGACCACGCCATTGTATGACTTTTCAGCAGCAGGTAAAATCTAGTAATTGCGGCAACACTGGAATATTCTTAACTAACCGTTGGTATGGAACCAGGCTATCCAACGAGACTTGAGGATTGGTATTTTTGTTTTAAATTCTTAAAGCCTATAAAGCAGACGATCTGATTAGCAAGCATACTGACAAGAAACCGCTCTGCGCCACTAAAAGCTACCTTCTTCCGCCGCTTTCTTTTCTTATTCTAACTGTTCCTTCCGTTCCGTTTCTCTTTTTGCCGTAGCGGCCTCGTAACGCTACCAACGGCAAAAACGACCGACTTCGTTTCCGGACCCCTGACAAGATTCAACACAGGGCATTTGATAGGGTTTCAGTGCTTCGCTATATTAACATTTCGAAATTTGTACTTTGTAGGGAAGGGAAGGAACGTTACGAAAAGCCTTTTGTATCACGAGTGGCGAAGGCCCTGGAGGCATCTTTTCTGTTGCGCGCTTTCTGATGGTGTTCCTCCAGCCCTATCGCCAACAATAAAAAGCCATTTTAAATGGAGTCTTGAAGGCTCACTTGTGCTGTTGTTGTATTTTTAATAAGATATTGTTGTCACCTTTCAGTTTGTTGGTTTTATGCTTAAAGCTTGAGGGAGGATTATGACAAAAAGGTGTCGGTGACGAAGAGATCACATGGGCTTCTTTTTGAACTCTAGAAGTGATTAACTTTGCGGCGATGTATTGTTTTCTGGTTTTGGGTCCCGGAAAAAAGTCCACTGGCCTGTAGTTACCGTGTGATTAGGGCTTCTTGTTTTTAACGTGATATCTCGCTAGAATAGGCTTTAATTGTATTTTATATAGGTTACTGAGCGACATTTTAAAGGGGTGTTTCGAACATTTTGGATTGTAATTTTAGGACTTCTAGGCCTAAAAATTCAATTTTTGCAACTAAGGTATGGCTGGAGATGCTAAGGAATTGCTGCTCAAGATAGCATCAGTGCTTGGAGCAGAAAGGGATGGATGCAATACAACGGAGGTGGAAACAAAGTACCGGTAAATGCTCACTTTCTTCTGCGCATTTAAATATTCGTGTTTCTCTGGTGCAAATTAGTTGTGTTTTTCTTTAGAACTGTGGGTGCCTAATTTAGCTAAACTCTCCTGTAATTCTGTTCTTGTAGAGCATTCTACGGCAATCCTTTGGAGATACCATCAGAATATCCCTCGCTCGAAGCTTTTTTTGTCAGTGAAATCGGGACCATGTATGTCGAAAAGAAGAACCAGAGATGGTTTGCCGTAGAACGGAAGGAGATTGCTCATGTTATAAAACTGGTCAATAGCACTCATACCAAGAAGAAGAAAAGGAAGCAGCTGTTCGGCGTTCCATATCATGACCATCGTGGTAAGCTTAAAATTTGTATATCTATTTTCTGCTGGTAATGCTGTAGTATTAAATTTAAGTTCTCTCTCGAAATCTGTTATAGCTCTTCTGCTTTTGAGAAAAGACTAGTGTGTTGTTCGTCTTCTGCCATTTTACAGCTTTTGTTCCTTATAAAGCTATCAGCTTTCTCGTCTACTTTTTTGTCAGTGAACTTTATTTCTTGTTAGAAATTTAATCGCTTTGCATTCATTTTAAGATTTGGGAGATTCGCTTACACTATATGATGGATGAATGCCACAATCTCCCGACATGATTCTAAGGCTTTGAAAGCATTTTTCCGATTTCCAAAAATAAGCACATACTATTTTTGTTGGAGTTACAGGATACGGATATTGGCAGAGGAAACCATTTTATTTAAGAAAATCACCGTGGGTCAGAAACCACTGCGAACCACAGAAGGTGGTAAAAGCGAATATTGCTGCTTCGGAAGTTAGGAACAAAAATCAAGGAAGTAGATTTTCTGTTGATGACGAACTTTCCTTGAATTTATTTAGGACTGCGCTTAAGGAAAACGAGGGACGTTGTGTGCCCCAAGGTCCTTCATTGGTAATTGATGTTGTCCTTGTTTGTTCATGAGTAAGCAATTAACGATTTGCTAATCAGCCTAGATCAGTTCATTTAAAACAGTCGTTCGTCAATTTCAGGAGGAGGAAGAAGAGTTCAATGCAAGAAGAAATAAGTGCATTGCTAACGAGTCTACTTCTTACTATGTGAACCACTCGGCTCTTGCAAAAAGGAGTGCTTCTCTCAAGGTAAATGATTTGGCAGTCTCTGGTCCGTTCTTTCCGAAAATAAGAATTCTGATATTTTTAGGGGGTCAAAAGGTTTATCAACTTACTGGAAAGAGCAGGGGGCGACGTGACGTGGAGTGATTTTGGGATTTTTTACAAAAAAACGACAGGTGTACCTTTAGACGACAAAGAGGCATGTGTTTTCAACTTTGTTTGC